TTCCCGTTTCGGGTCAGTTCAATGGGGGAGCGAGCTGGAAGCCGGCGGCGGCGGCGCCGGCGGCCCGGGCTCGCCTTTTGTCTGGGAGCTCCCTGGCCCGGCGCGGTTCCGCGCTCCTTCACCTTCGGAGCTGTTGGGCTTCCCCGGGAACTGTTAGTTCGGACCCGCTCGCCCAGCCCCCCGAGGGAACCCGCTCGCTCGCGCTGTCCCCCAAACTCCTCGGCGCCTCTCGCCGCCCGGCGTCCGCCCGGTCTGGAGGGAGGAAGCGGCCCCGCGGCCGGCGTCCGGGCGGAGGGGAGCCGGCGGGAGAAAGGCGGGCTGGTCCGCGCCCCCACCGGGCGCACACACACCCCCTTCTCGCCGCCGGGGGCCGGGCCGGCCGCCGCCACCGAGTTCCAGAGGAGGGCATCCCGGGCGACCCCCCATCCCCTGGGCGCTCGCGGGGCCGGGGCCTCTGGGGGCCGGCGGGGGGCTCGGGGCAGCGGGGGCGGCGCCCGAGGGGCGGGGGCGCCCTCCTCTGCCCTCTCGCGCTCGGCGGCGGCGCGGTGTGTACCCCTTTAAGAAGGAGCCGCTGGAGCGCTGACGGTTGGGATTTGAAGTTCTTCCTCCCTCTTTGGAAGTCTGGACGGCGGGGAGCGGGGGGACTGTTGCCATAGAGATGACACCCTCGCCCCCCTTCCCTGTGCGGACGCCCGGGCGACTCTGGTCCTCTTTCGCTGTCATGTGATGGGCCCGTCCCCGCATTTACCCGCACGTCTCCCTCCCCGCCTCCCACCCGCGTCCTCCTGACCGTCCGTCTTCCCAGTCGGTGGGGCCGGCGTCGTTCGTGCTTCTCAAACTTCTGGGCTGGGAGCTGTCATTCTGCAGGTTGCCGGGGGCGGCGGGAGGTGGCGGGACCTCCGGACCTTCGCCGCCGGCGCTCGCTTTTCTGTCCGAGTGGGACGTGTGCAGGGAGCTGTTCTCCCGCAGGTTGGTGTCCTGGGCAGGAAGGGGGCGACGCGGGGACAGGGACGAGGGGTGCTGTGCGCGTGTGTTTTGGAAGGGGATTTGGGGTGAGAGAGGAAGGGAAGAAGTGTGGGTAATGGAAGCAGCTGACTCGGTGGGCGATTACATCTTGGCACCTGGAGTGGAGGCACTAACCTTCTCTTACTTGTTTCCATCTGTTCTTGCGCCACCTCGAGCCGCCCCCCGCCCCCCACCCGGTTTGTTGGTTTAGCGCCTGGAGGAAGATCCTTCTTTTTGGCTAGTGAACAGGAGGTCGCAGTAGGATGAACTAGTACAACTTCAACTCAGAGGCGTGCACTGCAGAATACGATGGACATAGGAACTAGGGGCACTTTTATGTATAAGCCATTTACTGTTACCCTTATAAAATAGGTTTTGGTCTTATCTAAGGAGACATTCTGGAAAATAGCTTTGATTGAGTTCTCATAAGTGATTTTAGTTCTTTAAAAAAGTGTAGGAAAAACCACACGGTATTCTTTATATAAAATTTTAAAGGTAAGTGTTATTAGTGCTTCCAGAATACAAAATGGACCCGTTTTTATTGGAAAGATCTCTTCTGCCGACAACCTGTTTAGAAATGGGGTTCGTTGAATTAGGATCAGGGTAACGGCATTGTAACACCGGCTATTGTGTCAAGTTTTCCCCGAGGCACGCAGTGATTTTACGATGTTTTTGGTCAATTTTAAGTTTTTAAATCCTTTAAGATTTTTATCCCCTCATCTTTTTGCTTATGTGGGTACATTAAGTATGCTCTGTATCTAAAAATATATGTGATTTTGAAAAATAGTCAAATTTTAATTAAATACAAAATTAATTGAATTTCATGGGAAAAAGGACTTTCTGCCTTACCTACTTGGATACTGAAGTAGGATTGGGAAACATTGAAAATTGAGTTCATGCTGTTATGTCTAACATGCAATCTCTGTATTACATTTTTAATGTAATATATAATTATACCATGTTAGAAAAAAAATTTTTAACTGGGCTCTAACTATATTGCGAATTTCCCCCACAGTCCCAGTCCTAGTCAGGAGACCTAGTAAGACCCATCTCATACTTTTGTTTTCGCATTGTTATTTTAAATAAACAATGAAACTCTTTTAAACCGGATATTCACTTGTTGCTTGGCTTTTGTTTGTTTTTTTCAGTACCCTATATGTGAAGCATCTATTCATAGTGTGAATTGGGATTACATGTAGTTTGTGTACTTATTTCAATTCATCTTTTGCTATTAATGTGCTTACATTCAATATTTCACGTTATAAACATTTACAAACCGACATATTCTTTTTCCTTTGCATGTTTGTATGTTTGTGAATATATGTGTATATATAAATTTCCGTATGGCATATCCAGTGCTCTCACGACTTGAAATCGTTTTTATAAAATATGATCCTTTCTGCCATTGGGGAAGAAAATTATTCAAAAGCATTATTTTTAAATAAGGAAATTGTAAGCAATGTCTTAGGATTGTACCACAACTCAGTATTAACCCAGTAGTAGTGTTTTAAATCTCAATTCCTAGAATAAGTCTTTCATTTGATTCACTTTTTTATAACATATATAATATATTCTACTTTTATGGGGGGAAAGTTCATCATCCTTGTAGTTAGCTAAGATGTATAACTCTTGATAAGGAAAATGTTTACTTTTCTCTATTTGTGGAACTCATCTCTTTAGATTTATGATTATGATTTATTCTTTTTTTTTATAATTTAAGAGGTGTCCTATACATTCTGTGTCTCAATACCTCTATTTGCAATGTGGTACTTCTTATAATTTAATTATTTTTCTATAATCATCATATGCTGTGCTATAATTTGGAGTATGCTCATCTAACAGATGTTTTAGTGCTTATTGGATATAGTAAACAGTATCTTAGTGCTCAGTGTAATATTAAGGTATAACATATAGTCCTGAATCTTGTGGCATATGTAATAGAATTAGTAACTGATAAGTTACAAAATTTAAAACACAGTAAAGTCCAGGAGAAAAGAAATGCATCAATATAATTTTAAATATTATCAGAACTTGTATAGTCTGTTAAGATATTTGATCTGGGAGATAGGCCAAGTTTTTTATTTTTATTGTTTTGATTTTTTTTTACTTTTAATTTTGATATAATTTCAAACTTCCACGATAAGTTGGAAGAGTAGTACAAGGAATTCATATATGCTTACCCACATTCACTAACTGTATTATACTTTGCTGCATTTGCTTTATCATTCTTGCTTTATATCCATATCATTCTATCTACCCATCCATCCTTCTGTCTTCTTTTGAAATAATTTGAGGGTAGTTGGCAGATATTGTACCTCTTTACTCTTAAATTCTTAAGTGTATATTTTCTAAAATAAAAGACATTGTGCTTACCTAACCACAGTGTAGTTATTAAAACCAGGAGATTTAATATTGACATAATACTGTTATCCCAATCATAATCCATATTCAAATTTTATCTATTTCTCTATTTTATCTGTAAGCTTTCCTTTCCTTAGTCCAGGATCAGGCATTGCATTTTGTTGTCACATCTCTTTAGTCTCTTTTAATCTGGAACACTTTCTCAGCTGCTCTTGTATTTTTTGACCTTGACATTTTTGAAAAGTACAGGATAGTTATTTTGTAGATTGTCTCCCAATTTGAATTTGTCTGTTGTTTTCTCATGATTAGATTGGTTATGCATTTTTTTTTATTTTTTTTTTTTGGCCAGTAATACCTCTGAGGAGATGTTCTGTGCTTCTTAATGCTAGTACATCATATCTTGAGCTTCATGTTGTTAGCTTTGAAAATTTGGTTAAAGCATTATTCCCCATATTTCTCCTTGAAAGTCATCACTTATCCCTTTGTAATCAATATGTAATTTGGGGGAAAATATATGTTAATATGTATCTGCACATAGCATTCCATAAATTTTGCTGTTATTATTGTTGATTTACACAGGATATTAGCAGGTTTGAGCTTTACAGTTTTGCCAATAGATTCTTTCTGGTGGGAATGCTGATGAACAATAAAAAGATCGAGGCATGCTAGAAGAAAAGATAGTAAGGGTTTGAATGATCTGTTTTCTATGGTGTCAGAGTCATAGTTTAAGAATCACAGTGTATCACTTAGCCTCGGCAAACCCATTAGTCAACAGAGCCAAATATCAACAGTACAACGATTTAAATTTCTTTTGAGAGCCAAATTTTTTAAACTTAAACTATATAGGTAGGTACATTGTTATTAACTTAATTAGGGTACTCCTAAGGCTTAGGAAGAGCCACACTCAAGGGGCCAAAGAGCCGAATGTGGCTCACTAGCTGCAGTTTGCCGACCATGGACTTAGCCAAACCCTAGCATTTTGTATATGAGACCAAAAGATATTACATTCTAAGTAAATTTTCCTGATAACCTCATAACTGTCTTAGAGATCTGCACTCTGCAAGTGTTTGTAGAATGGACTTTCTTCCAAACTACCTGCCCCATCTATACTCAGCAGTATCAATGTCAGAATGTTCATTTCTCTTTTTTTTAACCTCTGAAGAAGTTATATCAGTACTTCCTAGAGCTGAATAAAGATGGGATAGCCCGTAAATAAAATTCTAGATAATCACCCCAATACCTCTTTCTGACTGCTCTGGCTTTCTCCTCTTTTGACTTTCCACTAATGTCTAGCTCATCTGTCACTGTTGCAATATAAATCCCAGAAGAGTGGATTCACTTAGAAATCTGGATTTGATAAGGACTGGTGTGGTGGGCCAACTACCCTAAAACCTTGGCTATACAACTATTTTTTCAAGCATTAGCAAGTTTTTAATCCATTTAAAAAGATGTAAACTATGACACTGCCTAATAGCATACATTAGACAAATGGAACTTAGAATATAATGAGTAGTTGGATGGTAAGATATACATCCAAATATCTCTGTAAAATAAGTATATCAATGAATTTTGCATGCAAGATTTGAAATTCTGAGTACTCCTGAATTATTTTATACTTGGAAGTGTAAAATTCTGCCACCTGTGTGAATTTTGTGTTTTTGCAGATATTAGATTCGGGCTACAGGCTGGAGCATAGTATAGCATCCTTTCTTCGTGGAGCTGTCTCTTCATGTCCATGCTACTTTCCTTGGCTGACTACATGCATGCGCGCCTTCTTGTTTGGCTTTGCACAGTGACAAGTTGGTGTTTATTGTGTCCTGTATGTTCCCCTGACTTGTATGACTTTGAACCCTGGTGGTTCTATCACAGTGCTGTCCTGGGAGGAGCAACAAAGGCATGCTGATATTTGGATATGTAATTTCTTTTTCCTTATTAGTAAATCCAGTCTTTCAATTATAATAACCTACATTTTTTATGTGTGGAGTTTCTTTTTTGGTAATAATCCTTATCAAATGGCCAGCATTCGTGGGTGATAACAGTTGGTTAGAGCACCAAATTCATAGGTTCAACATTTTGGAGACCCATTAACTTTCACATTATGAGAGTCCATACTGAGTTTGAATGTACCGTAGGATCAAGTAATTCATTCAAAAGAGTTGTTTCTTTCCCACCACAGAATATAGATAGGAGACTGTGAATAGGCCCAGACCAACCTACTGCTCCCACTAGGAAACTAAGGTAACAAAATAATGTCATATTTGTATTTGAAGAGTGACACTTTGTTTTTAATTAAAGCTAAATAAAAATTTTGCTTTCAGAATTTTTGTGTTTTCTAGAAAATAAAACTTAAGAGGATTCACTTTTTAAAAAAAAATGTTTTCTTACTTCAGAGAGAGGAAGGGAGAAGAAGAGAGAGATAGAAACATCAGTGATGATAGAGAATCATCGATCAACTGTCTCCTGCACGTGCCCTGCCCAGGAATGGAACCGTGACCTCCTGGTTCATAGGTTGATGCTCAACCACTGAGTCACAGTGGCCAGACTGGAATCATTTTTCTAAACATCTCATTTCCTTTCCTTTCCTTTCATAGAGTTTTTCCTAC